CCCCCCCCGCCAATGCCAGGACAGACTGAACGCGGGCTCCTGTCCTCCATGCACCCCTCCCCAGGACCCCAAGTTGCAGTTCTCTGCTCCGTGTCACCGGGGCCCCAACGTCTGATCGTTCAGCACAGCTGTGTGGAGTGCAGGTACTCACGTCTTCCGAGTGGCTTTCTTCAGGTGACGGTGGCATCTCATCCTCGACCACAGTCGGCGCCGAACGGTCCTCGGCGTTCCAAGCCTGGCTGGACCCTGTCGCTGAACGTGCACACGGCTCCCCGGCTCCGGGCACTGAGTTTGCACACCGCCCCTCGGCTCTGGGAGCTGGATTTGCACACGGCACGCCAATGCCACTGAGGCAAGCCTACGCACAAAAGCGGACACACGTAGTCAGTCCTCATTACATCTTGGCAGCTTTTCGGCTGGGCTCGAGGTCCCAGGCCCCATCCCATTCTCTGTGTGGCCAGCGCTCCCTAACCCGACCGTCTGTATCCGTCACACATAAGCTCACTGAATGAATGCCACACGGGCTTCTGGAACTGGGTCCCGAGAGCTGAAACATAACCTATAAATGCACAGAGCCAGGTGCTCCGAAAACAAGAGCGAGGGGTCCCATACCCCGTGGCCAACACCGGGAGCCCCCAGGGCCACAGGGCTCCTGGTGATGTGACAACTCACAAAGTCACCTGTGATAAAACAGACAGGGTCACGCACCTGGAGAAAGCTGCAGCCTCTGGTGACAAGGACACCAAGCACACACTTCCTAGGTGGTGGTCAGGGTGTCATTTCTCAGAACCAGCGGACTCTCCCTTTCTTTCCTACACAACGTGATGCCCACACACCACCCCACGGAAAACTCAAGTGTCAGCGCCATGAATACAAATCAAGTGACACGTGTGTCAAGTGATCAGAGAAACGCGCAGTCCTCCTTGAAGACCAGCCCCGAGCACCACCAAACAGAAACCACGGTTCACGTAAAAATAGGGATTTCTTTTTTCCCCATTTTCCAAGCAATGCATTTTAAACTCCATCGTATCGGTAAAGTGCCAGTTTAAAACTGACCAAGGGGCCGGCCGAGTGGCTCAGCTGGTTAAGAGTGCGAGCTCTGAGCAACAGGGTCGCCGGTTCGATTCCCACATGGGCCAGTGAGCTGCGCCCAAGCTGAGCTGCCGCTGAGCTGCCAACAGGTGGCAACACTGTTCCCCTTCCCCAATTCCCCAATAAAATCTTTAAAAAAAAAAAAAAGAAACCTGACTAAGAAATAGTTCCCTGGGTCCTAATTCCAGAAGGCCTTTTGCAGGGCAAATGTACGCCGACTGCATTGAGGGCACACATGTCATGAGTTACAGCAAGTAGGCACATCATTCCGTTTTTTACAAAAAATCAAATTGGTGTCAATCGGCAATTTTTAAAAACCCTCTTCAGAAGCTTCCTCCCACGGCCATATCACGCGACGATTGAAAGTGGGAATTGTGTCCTCAAACGACACGGTAATCAGTCACTGTGACCACGTATGCACGAGTGGCTTTCCCTGATGAGGGCGGCTCATTTAAATAATTTAGGCTTTTGCACTATTTAGGCATCTGTTCTCTATGATCACAGCAACACCTCTGCTCGTCCAACAGTCACCGTTTTGAACCACAAAAACGGTGGTTCAAAAAAAAAAGGTCGTGTGTGTCTTCATCATCTTTCTTCATGAAAGACAATACGTGGAAACAGAAGGGGAATATTTGAAGAAATAGACTCGGTGTTGTGCGTGCAGAGTTTATCTCGTTTATCTCGTTTATCTCTGGGTTTTTTTTGTTTTTTTTGTTTTTTTAAAGTGGTGAAAAAGCTTATTAGAAGAGATAGTACACTCCAAAGAATTAGGAACGGGCTGAGCACAAAGAAAACGCGGCTCAAGGCCTTCTCTCCGTTTTGAATTCTTGTTTATTTGTTTTAAATTTTTAACTAAAGTATAGCTGGCA